TTGTTTAGATGGCCTTATAAGCATCTATCTGAATCTGTAAACTCCTTTTTTTAAATAATTTTTTAAAAAATGTTTATTTATTTTTGAGAGAGAGAGAGAGAGAGAGAGAGAGAGAGAGAATGCGATCAGGGGAGGGGCAGAAAGAAAGGAAGACAGAGAATCCTAAGCGGCTCTGTGCTGTCTGCACAGAGCCCAGTGCAGGGCTTGAACTCACAAACTGTGAAATCATGACCTAAGCCGAAATCAAGAGTGGGACACTTAACAGACTGAGCCACCCAGGCACCCCCTGTAACCTCCTTTGAAGTTAAAGGAATTGTTCTTCATAGGTGGAATGTGGTATCAGCAGCAGATACTTTGGACAGGGGTGTTCCTGTGGTGTTCCCATTTCACTGTACCAAAGATTTAGGACTTCTCTATCTGTAGTACCAAATAATATCCATTACTATAAATGATCACCACTCAGTGTATCTTGAATGTCTCACTTTAACAAGCAATCATGCCGTCCTGACTTATAAAAAATAAGGCCAATTCAGAAAACACACAAAGTATGACAATTATTCATGTTTCCCTAATGGATCTTGCCCTTTAAGATACTGAGTAGTGAGTATCTCAGTAATCAAAGGAGGATTACTTTGATAACACAAACCATCTTTGGTTTCAGATAAGGTCTTCAAAAGCACCAGAACATTTACCTGGCAATTTGACTCCTGGTCCCACCATCCTTCTGAACTAGTCACACTGGTCTGTGTGGTATCTTGTGGAATACGCCAAACACATACCAAGCCACTCTGACAGCCACTTAAAAATTAATCACGTAAAACCAAAACATGTCAATATGCAGAAGTAAATATAGTTTCAAAGAGCAATCAATTAAAGACCTGATAAAACTGTTACAATATTATTTTAAAAATTATTTGCAATAGCTTTATGCTATAATCTTTTACAAGAATTACAAGAAGAATCGATATTCTAGCAACATCACACCCAGATAAGGAGAGTGCATTCCAACTTCCATATTTTGCCTTATTTCTCTAAGGTAATCTTATGGAATTATACATTATAAGAATAGTAACAGGCAAACTGTTTTAAGACCACTGAAAAGCCATATTTAACGCAAGTAACAGTCCATAATAATATAAAAATTAAGACACACACACACACACACAAATTTATAACATACGTAGCCATCAGTAAATGCAATTTGGATCCTTTCCCTGGGAGGCTGCACCAAGCAATGCCATTTACAATAGATGGATGGCAGAGTGAATGTAGACAGCGCCAGCATCCTGAAATAGGCCCCCAGAGTTTCACATTTTCTTCTTTGGCACATGTCATAAGAATATGACCTGTTGGGTCCCACTTCATACTAACAAGAGTATCCTTAAAATGACAGGGAGAGAAAAAAAAATCATAGTAACCGTCCTTCACAGATACGTAAACTCAGTAATTTATGACCTATACTTCCATTACTCAATTATTTTGAAATCAACATTTTATGCAAATAAGATACCGTCATATCATTCCCAATCACAAGACAACTTACCCTTTAATATAATCTGCATTATATACACTTGCTACAGTCAAAGCTCAGTAAATGTTAGTTGAATGAATGAACTAGGAAATTCTGATTCAGAAGGAATATTTATCTTTCATTAGCATTTTAAAGAATTATTGACTTGTAATCATTAGAATAATGAAAAAGAAACTTTAAAAAAAGCATCCTTCATACCAAAATAGCAAATATTATGAGAATCTAAGACATATTGTACGTTTACATGGTTGCCGTTGTGTTCTTCTGACATTTTTTTATTTTTACCCTCCTTCACACTTTCAACCCCTGCCTTCGTGCACTTATGTTTTGCCTAGATGGCCCTGTAAGCATTAGAACCAGCAACCCTTTTTAAGGTAAAGGAATCATTCTTCATAGATGGAATTTCTAGCATGACAGGGGGTGTTCCAAGGGTGCTCCTATTTTACTGTTTTGGTTTTACTTCTTTCTTGGCTTGATGGCTTTCTTACACAGACCTTTCCATGTATATACATGGTCGAAAGATTTTGTGTAACAATAGAATATGAAATCATAAGTGAACTATGTTAAGAAAGTTTAAAGAAAACTAGTATCAAGCAATACTATAGTAAAAAAACAAGAAAAAGTAACCATCTGGGAAAGATGTTTTTACCTTATGTGCATCAATTAGAACAATGCCTCCTTTCTCAAGTGGTTCCTTCGTTCCCAGTAACAATTTTCCATCAAAAAATCCTACTGCAAATGGTCTGTCTTCACTGAACCAAGCAATGCAAGTTACAGACACTAACATGATTAAAAAAAAATTTTTTTTAAGAAAAAAATATAACACTCATATGTCACTGTCTAACTTAAAAGACATATTTTTGCAACAAACATATGCTACCACAACCACTCCAAGTAAATTTCCAAACATCTCTTTGATGCATTTATTAGATAAAAGGTAGGCTGAGAGCAGGGATTCTGTGTAACTTACTTTAAAAGTATTATAATAAGTGACAAGGACTACCTCATTTTTAACCTTTTATTCTTTTCAGATGATTACTGAAAAGTTAAATTCCTTGCTGATTCCAAGTCCATGTACCAGGTTCCTTCCTTTTGGACCAGAATCTACTATGAAACTGAGAAATGAAATAATCCATCATAGAAAGAAAATTATCTGTCCCTTCTTTTGCTTAATATTCCTTACTCTATGTGTTTCCATATTTTACCAAACATGTTCTAACAATCTACATTCATATTTGCTTCTTCAAGTACACATAACTCTGGAAAACTATAAGAGAAGTAAGAAACAGTATTTATCTGTGGGAGTAGAATGGGGACATGTGGAATGAGTGGATGGGAAAAAGACTTTTCACTGCCTATCTTTTTAAACTTTAAGATTTTTGAACCCCATGAAGGTATTACCTATTTAAAAAAAAAAAAACCTAAATTTAAAAAACACTTGTTCTATTCTGTGCCATGTAAGCTGGGACCGTGATCTGTGAAACACTCCATTCCCCCCAAACAATTAAAAAAACCACGTAGTAAGATGTCTATGCATCCAAAGGGAACACAGAAAATAAATGAAAGGAGACTTCCTACTATCTCTGGTCATACCAGGAACGTACCTCCTCCTCCTTCCATTTCCTCAATTTCATTTGTTAACAATTTCATCTCTACCAATGATTATAATTCTTTTCTCTTGGACATTCCTAACTTTCAAGGGAAATTGACAGCCCCACTTAAGTTTCAGACACTCACACAAAGGATGAATGACTAATACAATACTATTAGATCTCATTTTGGCAGAGGTATGTGGTAGATGTTGGGAGGGAATTATCTTTCAACGTAGTAACTAACTAAAACGAAATACCAACTGGAAAATTTAGAAAACAAAGCCAAAAGTAATATTAACTCTGCATTTTTAAAAGCAAGTGCCAAAAAAAATAAGTTTTTTGATTGGGGGAAATACTTTCTTAATGAGACGCAAGTCATTTACCATCTTTTCGATAGCAATGTTCCAATTCTCGACGGTGCATGGTGGATACATCAACAACTTCTATCAGTCCTAGAGAGCCATCCATCCGTCCCACCAACAATAATTCTGGAGACTCTCCTGACCAGGCTGTAGCTGGACCCTCTTCTGGCCAAGCCAGGGCAGATACCCAATGAGGCTGAATATCTACTAATCCTTTACCTCCTAAAGAGGAGAAAATGTTAACTAGTTACTTAATCCTTAAAAACAATAATACAAAAATATTAATTCTAATATTCACTCAAGGCAGTCCTCAATTTCATAATAGTCTATTAATAAATACAATTATAAGGCAGGATCCTTCATTTATATACTATATATGATTATCAAATTCACAGGCTTTCCTATAACTACTAATGGGACAAAAATGATAGCTTTATTTATTTTAAAGTTTATTTATTTTTGAAAGAGAGAATTGTGACAGAGTGTGAGTGGAGGAGGGGCAGAGAAACAGGGAGACACAGAATCCAAAGTAGGCTCCAGACTCTGAGCTGTCAGCACAGAGCCCAATATGAGGCTCAAACCACAAACTGTGTGATCATGACCTGAGATGAAGTCAGATGCTTAACCGACTGAGCCACTCAGATGCTTCAAAGTGATAGCTTTATTAAAGAAGGAGTAAAGGAGGGGCGCCTGGGTAGCTTAGTCGGATGAGCATCGGACTTTGGCTTAGGTCATGATGTCATGGTTCATGAGCTCCACATCAGGCTCACTGCTGTCAGTGCGGAGCCTGCTTCTGATCCTCTGTTCCCTTCCCCTGCTCACGTTCTCTCTCTCAAAAATAAATACAAACTTTTAAAAAAATAAAAAGGAGTAAAGGAAAATATTCAGTGCAGAAATGTCAAACACTTACATCCTTTCCTAATAATCACTGAAAATCAAATTAACGTAAGAAATTTCCCTAGAGTTAAGGCTAGCTTTTCCTTCAAATCTGTGAAACATAGAAAAGCCTTTCTTCAAATATGCAAAAACAAACAAAATTATGCAATAAGCCTAAGATTATAATAATTTTTACTTTCCAGAGACATATCATTAAAAATTGAAATGAGTTTGTACCTGTGAATTAGACAAAATTAGTAGAAATATTTCAAGTGATTCAAAAGAATGCATCACTGAAAACTCATAGCTCAAAACCTATTCTGAACACTTATAGTAGTATGTGAAAAGAATTTTTAGCTTACAATTACCAGGTTAGTCAAAACTCTTAGAAAGAGAAGTCAGGAAATGATCATTTCCTCTTTAATTTAAACTATAATATGCACACATCTACACAGCTGATGAACAGACTGTGAGTTTCAAGGTGAAAGGAAGCCACTGTTTGGACTCAGAAAGCTAAAAAAAAAAGGCTTAAAAAGTACCTTCAGTAATTTGCTAGTATTGGCATGACTCTTACCATTAACTTGCCAAATATTCACCATCTTTTCCAAGGCCCCAGCTAGATATTTGCCACTGATACTCCAGGAAACAGGTGAGAAACTTGGATCACTGGGTGACCCCAGGCTCTCCTCAGCATCTCCTTCTCTAAAATATAAAAGACACATATGGGATTCTAATCCCCATCATCCAAAAATATATAAAACCTCAAATCTTAAAATAAAGGTTTCATATGGACTGAAGTAAATAATAGAGACTCTTCATTTCAGAAGCTTGGCTAGCACTATTTGACAATCACATATTTGCTAGCATTTGTCATGGTGTGAAAAATGTAGAATTAAAGAAGAGTGATGCTTAGATTACCCAATTACCATAGTAGATAATTTCTCAACAAAGACTCTCTGATTCTTTATGGGTTGTAAACCTGGTTATTATTCAGAGCACAATGATTCTTGTTTGCCTAATCTCTAGGGAAGCTCTCAGAAAGGAAATACCTATGCCAGCTATAAAACTATAAAGGCTGTTAACATTCTGTAAGAAATATCATTAATTCCTAAATAATCCTTAAAGAATGATGGAATATTAGCCTACTGTTTTACAGAATTTAACATTTATAATGCTAGCATAGTAGACCTTGATTTAATTCTAAGACACTGATTGTTAAAATTTTTATTTTCTTAATTACTATCCCGGAAACTTAAAAACACACACCAGAGATATAGTAAGACTATTCTAAAAGAAAAACTGTAGGGGGCCTGGGTGGCTCAGATGGTTGGGCATCCGACTCTTGATTTCAGCTCAGGTCATGATCCCATGGTTGTGGGATCGAACCCCGCACTGGAGTCCATGCTAAGTGTGGAGTCTGCTTAAGATCCTCTCTCTCAGAGCACCTGGTGGGCTCAAACAGTTATGCATCTGACTCTTGATTTCAGCTCAAGTCATGATTTCACAGTTTGTGGGATTGAGCTCCATGTTGGGCTCTGCGCTGATAGTGCAAAGCTTACTTGGGATTCTCTCTCTCTCTCTCTCTCTCTCTCTCTCTGCGTCTCTCCCCTGCTCTCAAAATAAACTTAATCAGGGCACCTGGATGGCTCAGTTGGTTGAGCATCTGACTTCGGCTCAGATCATGATCTCCCAGTTTGTGGGTTCAAGCCCCACATCAGGCTCTGTGCTGACAGCTCAGAGCCTGGAGTTTGTCTCAGATTCTGTGTCTTCCCCCCCGCCCACCCCTCCCTCACCTGTTCTCTGTCTCCCTCTCTTTCTCAAATATAAACATTAAAAAAAATTTTTTTTTAATTTTCCCTTTCTCTCCCTCTGCCCCCTCCCTGGCTCTTGCTCTCTAAAAAATAAAACAAATTAAAATTAAGAAAAAAATAAAAGAAAAATTGTAATAACTTAATGACACTGTGATTACATTAACACAACCAAGATGAAGCATGTTTAGGATTCTCTTAAATGTTACACATGAGAGCTGATGTTAGCACTCACAATCTGTTGAACACACAGGTTTGTTGCAGTGAATATTGCTTCTTAGTAACATTCCATACCCGGATGGTACCATCATTGCCACTTGTAGCCAAAAGTCCTTTTTTATTACACCAAACACAAGTCATCACCTAGAAAGGTTGAAAAAGTCCAACGATTTTTAATTTTTTTATTTTAATTCTAGTATAGTTAACATACCGTGTTATATTAATTGCAGGTGCACAATATAGTGATTCAACAATCCTATACATTACTCAGTGCTCATCATGATTAGTGTACTTTTAACCCCTTCACCTATTTCACTCCCACTCCCACCCACCTCCCTTCTGGTAACCTTCTCTACAGAGTTCTGTTAGAGTTAAGGGTCCACTCTTAGGCTTGTCTCTTTTTTATTCCTTTATTCATTTGTTTTGTTTCTTAAATTCCACATATGAGTGTAATCGTGGTATTATCTTTCTCTGATTAATTAATTTTGTTTAGCATTATACTCTCCAGCTTCAGCCATGTTGTCGCAAATGGCAAGATTTCATTCTGACAAAGTCCAACATTTTTGAGCAAGTTTTGATTCAAATGATTTTGTCATTCTATATCTATCAAATTAAAAAATAATCTACCAGAAAATTGTAAAAGAAAAATATTCATGTTATAGCATAATATACATGGTTTCACTCTTTCCTAATTGGCTTGTAAACATACATCTATTTGTATGGCTTTAAAGTACTATGCCTAAACTCATTTGAGTTATTGCAGACCTATGAGAATCTTTACTAAACATGTTTATTTAATTCAATAAAGTATAAATATTTCAACATATGTTGTACAAAATAAACAACACAGACTAAAAAGTGACTTTTAAAGTGGTAATAACGGAAGTCAGTCTTCATTTCCTAAACTGCCCTTGTCAATGCTCAAGGGTCTGGTAAGTTAGATTAACACAGCAGTTAACAATTTCTTCTCCTCTTGCACATATAAGCCCTCATCTTTTGTGAGGTAATTCCCTTGGTTTTCTTCTCATCCCCCATCTGATTTTTCTATTTGTACACTACTATGTCAACCCAACATACAGAGAAAGGAAAGCTGGTAACTACTAGACAAATATTGGTAATTGTGCGTGTGTATGTGCACGAGGCAGAGAGAGAGACACTTAAGATCTAAGCTCTCAGAGAAGGGCAGAAACTATTTCATCTTACATAAGGGGATTAACATACTTAGGGCTCAAAATACATACTCTGTTTTGATGAGCCTCCAACTTGATAAAGGAGCATTTCCTGAGATCTCCTCCCATATCAGCGAGTGTTTGGGGAGTAGTTTGGTTGTCGCGGTCATGTGCAGCAAGAGTGCGCACAAGCTGTTGAGCAGCCCATTGCCTATGCTGTGAGGACAGCCTGGAGGAGAGGCAACAGGCTGCCAGGGCATTAGCCAGCTCCAGAGGGCCTACAGCAGAAGGATCATAGGAAGGATGGGCATACAATTGGGCAGTTAAACCTGCTTAAACAAAACAATGAAATGATGCCCAGGTAAGAGCTGGTGGTGGTAAACAAAAAAAATGGGTTAACCCATATCTTTTAAAAATTAGCACTTTTGCAAGCAATCAATTCACTAAGATATGCATACAAGGTATAAAGCATTTATCTCCTATCACATTCTCTAATAAATCTGATTCATTGCAAATATACATTTATGTACATCAAGAGTCTTTGCTCTAAGTACACACAGATTCAGAATGCATCAGAAATAATTTCAAAGCCAGGGCAGAGACAGCATGCCCTAAAAAGTAAGAGTTTGGCTTTTGCTGCTCAAAAGTGATCGTAACAGCCAGTCAAGGGGCTGGGCTGATAGATCCCAAAGCCCATCTATCTTGGCCGAATGGTCCTGATGAAGAGAAGGGTACAGACAATAGTGATTAAGGAGTCCCTTCAAACTGTTATCATCTTATGACAAAGAGAAAAATAGCCGTATCTTTACATAAATTTTATTAAGGACACCTAACCAAGATTATTATCTATTGTGATTCAAACCATAATCTAATAGAATAATCAAACCAAGATTAATTTGGTACATTTTCTAATATCTGTTTCCATGCACCATGAAAAAGGATCCATGTAGTTTTTTATGATCTGAGCTTAAGAAGTATACATGACGCTTACAACAACTCTAAAACACGTTTTAAAAAGCACACATCAAATTGACAACAAGACTGTATATTTAAAATGGTAAATGGTATGAAACTTACCTTTCTTTTCAACTTCAGATTTATCATAGTTAGGTCTCAGTTTGGCCCCCTTGTCTGCTAGTAATGCCACAAGGGCCTGAGTTACAACAAAGTTTGGGGAGGTTACAAGCTTATTCTCTTCAGCAATTCCTCGGAGAAAGCTGGGTAGAAACTTTCGCTGAATTGGATCATCAACCGTGGTTAGATTTACACCTGTTGCAGCAGAAATCAAGTTCTGAAGAGGCAATTGGAACAAACAGGTTTAATTTTTACATATAATTTTGGAACAAAAAGATTTCACCTCAAAAGGCTCTTTAAGAATTGGTCAGAAATAATGCAACACGAAAAGCACTGAAAACCAGCTTACCTGTGTACACAACTGCACCAGGAGTTTGGCAGCACTAGGAGTGTTTGATGCCAGACATCCCACTGCTGTGCTCAGATAGGCCAGGCAAGAGATGGGCTTACTGGCCTTGCTGTGCCCGCCTCGTGAGCGTTCTGAGGTGCTTGCCATGGCAGAAGGGCTGGTAGAAAGGCCAGCTCTCCCTGCTGCGGCCAAGCACATTAACCGAACCAGTGTTCGGATATCTGTAAGCCCCAGAGACTCCAGGCCAGCAGCCAGGCTACAGCTGGAACCACTGCCAAGAAAGAAAAAACACTTCAGATGGATAAAGAAAACAGATTTCTGAAGGGACCACTGGGAGCCCCACCTATCAGCCAAAGTACCAATAACTAAAATAAAAGTCAACCTGCAATATTACTAGCCATATGTATCTTAAGATAAGTCAAAAAATATTAAGCTGGAAACTGTTAAGATTTTAATTATTTTATTTTAATTTCATGAACTTGGAAGTATAACTAAGTATAATACACAAGAAAGTTCACAAACTGTGAGTTTTCACAAACAGAACCAACATTACCAACACCTCAGAAGCCTGCTTGGGTTCTTCTCAGTCATAGACCCCTAAAAATAACGAATACCAATGACTTTTTAAGTTATGTATCAGTTTTGCCTGTTTTGAACTTTATATAAATAAGATAAAGTCTGTAATCTTTTGTGTCTGGCTTCTTTTAAGACTCATCCATGTTGTTGCATTATAGCAGTAGATACTCATTTTCATTGACATATTAATAAAATCTACCATAATTCATTTCTCCATACAGATGCAATTAGGTGGTTTCTGGCATGGGGCTATTATAAATAGCAGTGCCATGAAGTTCTTGCTTATGTCTTCTGGTGCACATATAGAAGCACTTCTGCCGAATATATACCCAGGAGTAGCTTTCTAGGTGATAGAGTATGTTCATATTCACCTTTGGTTGGTACTATTGAATGGTTTTCCAAAGTAGCTGTACCAATTCACTTCCTTACTGGCAGTGTGTTCTGGGTGTTCCACATTTTCTAGGTGCTCACATTTTCCCAAGTCTTTTCGATTTTAGCCTTTCTAATAGGTGTATTTATATCTCACTGTTTTTCCATTTTCATTTCTCTGAAGACTAATGAGGCTGAAGACCTCATTTTCCATGTTTACTGGCCATTTGGAGATCCTCTTGTATTATTTTGCATTTTGCCCACTTCTTCTATGAGTTGTCTCTTCTTCTCACGGATTTGTAGAAATTCTTTACATGTTCTGTTGGTTATATGCATTGTTCATATCTTCTCCCATTAAGTGGCTCATTTTTTTTACTTTCTGACTTTTTATTTTCTTAATGACTTTTGCTGAAAAGTTCTTTTTTAATGTAGTTCAATTTATCAATCTTTTTCTTGATGATGAATGCTTTTTGTGACTCAAGAAAACTGTACCTATCCCAAGAGAACAAATTCTTCCTACCTTAGAGAAACATTATTGATTTATCTTTCACATTTAGATCTAAGAGCCACTTGGAAATATTTGTCTTATATAGTGTGAGGTTGGGGCCAAGACTCACTTTTTCCTGTTGAATAAACCATGTGACCTAAGCCCAAGTTATTGAGGGGACATGCTTTCCTCACTGTTCTGCCATATAAACATTATCATAAATCAAACCATACACCAAGTGTTTATCTATATGTGTGGATCAGTTTCTAAATTTTGTTCTCCACTATCCAATACCAGAGTCTCATCTATTTTTGAATTTTTATTTCAGGGTCCTTCTGTCTTCACTGATTTACTTTTATATACCTCTGCTCAACAATTCTTTTTTTTTTTTTTAAGTTTATTTATTTATTTTTGAGAGAGACAGAGATAGTGCAAGTGGGGGAGGAGCACAGAGAGGGAGACAGAGAATCCCAAGCAGGCTCCACACTGTCAGCATGGAGCCCAACGTGGGGCTCGAACTCACACGAAACCGTGAGATCATGACCTGAGGCGAAACCAAGAGTCAGATGCTTGAGTGACTGAGCCACCCAGGCGCCCCTGCTTAACCATTTCTTAAATGGATGTCTTTTAGGTATTCTTGGCTCTCTTCCTTTTTTAATATTACATTCTACAGTATGAACATGGCAGGAGTCTCCATGATGGAATCTGCAGGTTGAAATAGCTACACAGTTGGGTCAATTTTGCAGAAAATTCATTCAACCTTTTGATTTTATCCTGCATCAAATGGATTGAAAGCTTTAGTTTCTCATTTCAGATAATAAAATTAAAAATGTTTGCAGTTTACTCAGCTACTATAATACTCTTATTTTCTACCTAAAAAGAGCTAAGTATTTACCGACTGGATGAATGAATAACAATGATGACTATTTCCAACTTCTTTCATTTGACAGCCTAGATACTCAAGGCTCTAAAAATTCTATCTCATCCTCCCAAACAATACTAAACTCCTGTCTAATGTATACTAGGAACTAACTTAGCATCACCTGACACGATAATTCTTACCTGACCGAGAGAAGAGACAGAGCTCTCATTACCATGGTTCTTGCCAGAAGAACCTGAGCAGCAGCAGTCACTCTCCTTAAAGCCACCACCCGGTCGTGAGGGTTCGCTAAGGCAGCGGCCTGCTCACCTAGTGTTATTCTTCCAGAGGAACTCTTTTCTACAGAGCCATGGCAACCTGAAAAACATATCCAGAGCACTGAAAAATTTTCCCATTCTATCTATGTTCTGGGCTGCAAGGAAACACAGCAAACCAATGTGTTTTGTTCATTTGGACTTTGTTACACAGAAAATTCCTTGGGAGAAAGAGACAGTTCTAAGGCAATAACCTGTTATATATGTTCCTTAAATTTTTTTGGTTTTATTTTGTTCATATATCATATATAACAGACACAGAAAAGATACAGTTTTTAAAATATGCTTTAAGTATACAGAAAGGGCTGAGTCACCAATACTAATTCTTTATTTTGTATTCCCGAGAGCAAAAGTTACCCATACCCTTTCATGCACAT